ATATTTACTAGATTTTGACCATTTGACACAAACGCTGATCCATCAGCCAGCAGTAGCAGCTCATTCAGAGACTAATCAGTAAAAGAACTTTTCTTCTGGCATCTTCACATCCGATAAATACTACATAATCATTTTTGTCAAATTTTTCACTATAATTAATACTAGACCTGGGGCCTTATTCTGTAAGGAACGAACCGTTCGATTCGGTAGAATTTCTTCGATTGTGACGTCATTTTCGGTTTGGTTTTCATGCTACCAAACCAAAAATGACGTCACAATAGAAAGAATTGTACCGAATCGAACGGTTCGTTCCTTACAGAATAAGGCCCCTGACTATGTCATTGAAAGTCCAATGGGGTAGTATACTATGTATGAAAATCAGTAAAAAAACTGCAGTAAAAACTGGGACATTGTTCTATAGGCAAAATGGGGGACATTAAATTATTTTCCACCATAGTGTTTATAGAATTAGTCAGAGAAAAAGAAAGTGTAATTTGCCACAGTGGCGACCTATAGTATTCGAGCCGCTGACCATCTGGCAACGCTGCTTAAAATGCCTCTAAACGACAGCTGACTCCAACAGTTCAACGACGTGTCGTGTCGTGTGAATGGTGTGACATGTGACCAGGCCCTGCGATCTCTTATTGCCAGTAATAAACCGCAAAATAACTCTTTTCCGTTTTTATAGATGTCGCTGACAACAACAGAATTGTAAAATACCAGCACATCAAGAACACGTCCGATGTCGATAACATTGACATGAGATTGACATGTCAACATATGACAATATGCCAAAATATTCATTTGATCATAAATAATAATAGACCTATCTATTTTTACCTGTATGCGCGCGCAACACGAGGCAATGCATTTTTATTGGCTAACAAGTACTGGTGTGAAGTAATCCTTTTGCACGCTGGGCATATTCTTGTCCTTGTTCATTGCCCGTGGTCTGACAAAGATAAAATTATGCTTGATATTCAACTTGACGTAGCTTGACAAGTGATCGATTTTCAATTGTTTGTGTTGTTGATTGACAAATACGTTGCACTTCCCGCGGTTTTCCTCCTTCCTTTTTTATCCCGTGCAAATAATAAGAACGGATTGCTATACGTAAGTCTAACATAATTTGGTACGTTTTGCCTCGTCTTGCGCAATAAGCGTTCTGCGTCTTTTTCTATCTAATAAAGTTCTCGTATTATTACCTCTTTGTCTGGCAAAATAGATAGGTCTATTCCTAATGTTTTTCGTTCGCCGGTCTTGCATTTCGTCTTTCATTGTGTTCTCAAGTGTTTCTAAGTGATTTCAAAGTGGTTTTGTGTGTTTCACGAAGATTTTCAAACTTTATAGATTGGAAGATCTATTTTTATCTTTGTTGATTAGATTAATGACAGGTTCAATTAAACATCAGTCAAAACTTTGGATAAATATGTTAAGGATGTCCTTAACCATCGATAAAGGAACTGTCTTTTGATCTAATTAACAAAACATCAATTAATTTGAGCAAACATTAATGTCTCAAAGTCTAGAATAAAGAAATTTGAACAGACCGACTGTAATGCGAACAGGGCGCCATCTATCATAAAAATACCTTGAAGTCTTATGTGAAGTAGGTGTCTGTAGCGTCGATGCAAGACCAGTAAATAGTGAGTTTCCAATATGGTAGATGGCGCTGGCTTGGCTCAATTTTATTGACAAAAAAATTTACACTGAGATTCCATTCTCGTCAGTTTATATAGTATTTATCTCTGCATGTGACATTGTCACAGTAACTTGTTTGATGATGGTTCGGCCGAGTTCGTTTTTGTCATCTTTCTCGTCGATTTGCTTCGAAATTTTGACAGGCACGTGGTTTGTAAATTGAAACTCTCTTATGCACTCACGTGCCTGTCAAAATTTCGGAGCGTATCGACGAAAAAGATGACAAAAACGAACTCGGTCTTTGATGTAGTGAATTTGACGTTTCGTTCTTGACGGTCAATGTCGGTGCAAATTGTGCGCTCTCAAATACTGTATTCCTTTTATGCATCGAGTTACACCGAACAAGCTCCTCGGAGTCACTCCTAAACACACAATTCAGATTTTATCATTATTTTTTAATATTTACATCACCGTCATTACCTAAAAGGGCTTCACGCACCCACCGCAAATTTGGTGCATAAGGGGAAAGGGGGATGCACTATGAGCGACTCGAGTGCCTAACGCCCTTTTAAAAGGAACGTTCAAGCTTTTGACATTGAGCAGCTCCGAGTAACTCAACGGGTAAAAGGAATACAGTAATTTTACCACAGATTAAAACCAGAGGCCTTATTCTTGACTTCTTTCTCTCGAGAGAAAATTTGACTGTGTTGACAATTAAACAGTGCATTAACTATTAACAATGTCAAATTTTCTACCTAGGTAAAGTCAAGAATAATGTCTCAGATTGGAAAAACTAACTACGTCACGAAATTTTATTTTTACGTAGGGACGGAGCTAAGAGGAAATTTGAAAAATAAAATTCCAGTGTATTGCGGTTCTTACAAAGCAACTGATAACACTGAATATTACGATACGTTGAGTATATCACTACGACTACGCAGTAGTTAAAAATCACTTTATACTACCCCAAGCGCCCTCTAGCCTCATTACTATTGCCCATAATCAGAAGTTGCCGCTTCCTCCGAAGCGACACAGCAAGCGTTCCTGATGATTCACAAGCCCCCACTTGTGCACGGAGGCTCTGCAGCTCTTTTTTGAAGGAAGAGAAGTCATTTTTCAGCAATCTCATAGTATTGCGAATGTCGTTTTCAAGAATTTCAAGATTTTTCTCTGCCTCATTTTGCGAATGGAGGCTGCAACTTCATCGCCAAGCTGTGCATTGGTCTGTCTAATAGTTGCCAGTTCCCCATTGAGGGCAGCCCAGTTCCTTGTCTTTAGCTTTCAGTTTTTCTACAAGAGTATTTTCTGCTTCAAGAACATCGTTGGTGAAATCAGATGTAGATCTTTTCTATCCCTTTGTGTACCCTTCTTTCAATTTAAGCTGTGCCTTAATCTTTGCCAGCTCTCCATTTAAGGCAGTGATTTCTAAGCAATGTTCAGCTCTCAGAGTTTCCAATTTGTCTTCGTACGCCTCAGTGAGACTCTTTATTTGCTTCCTTAGTCTAACCATCATATCCACATCAAGATTCTCATTGCAGGTCTCTTAACATACGATTCTATAGCTTTCCACACGATCGAAAGACTGCCGTTCGATTCAACTTTTATAAAAGACATTGTTACAGGTTATACAAGTTGTTGTTATACATTGTTGGGAAGAAGTCTAATAAAGCTACAATGTAGTGAAACATATTACTCTTGTAATAGAATATAGTAAAAATATAAGTTTCTCGTAAGGTTTTTTCCTCGCTTGATACATTTGACGACTTACTTATCGAGAAGGAATTTGAGTTTTCTGTTATCCACTCGGAAAAGCTTAGGTGTTTTGTAGTTTGTAATTTATCGCTCCCCTCAGGGTAACTCAATCACATTTCTAGAGAGACTGGAGCTGTTGCTTCCGAGGCTTCCTTCAAACTATCAGCTTATCCTTGCTGGCTACTTAAACATTGATTTGGAAGACAAGAATAACACACCAACCTTGAGGCTATCAAACCTAATTCAATGTTATGATCCTACCATGCATATAAATCATCCTACACGCATCACAAATACTTCCTCCACAACAATTGACTACATCGTCTCCTAACATTCATGAAGATATATCCTGCGATGTTTTCGATCCCAAATTATCGTACCACGATGCCTGCCTGGCTGACATACCTATTAATTGTGATTGCTCAAATGACGGGCGATAACACAAATATATCTAATTACACTCTCTCTAAGCTAATAGAAAGCTTAATCAAAACCAGTCTTTGGTCTTTCTTACATAAACAGAGTATCCTAAATGTAAATCAATATGGCTTTCAGACCAATCATATCAGACGCAATGTTTGACTTCTTGGCTGGGGTTTTCCGGGCAATAAACGGGCGAGAGGTCTCCGCAGCGGTGTTTTGTGACAAGTCAAAAGCTTTTGTCTAATCTGTGCCTTTGACTGTCAGTCACGAGATACTGCTGCGGAAACTGTATGCGTGCGTACGGATTCCGGGGCGATGATCTCGCGTGGTTTCGAAGCTACTTGAATGGACGTGAGCAGAGTGTGCATATAAGCGGTTTATCAGTCAGTAGACGGCGTACCTCCTGTGGCGTCCCTCAAGGCTTCTTTCTAAGACCCATTCTGTTCCTAATCTACATTGACGACCTAACGCAGCTGGAAGTCACGGGTACCTTCACCTTATTCGCAGATGATACAACCGTGTTGTGGCACAACAGGGACCTCAAACAACACATGTTGGGCATTGTATCAGATCTTGAAAGAATTGGGCAATGGTGTGATGCAAATTGGCTCTGTTCAAATATGTCGATGTATTTCCAAGAACTTATAAGAGGGGTTGCACAGGATATCTATTTTGCCCTTGTTGAATCTCATTTCAGATATGCCTTACCCTTTTGGTGTGCCTGCTCGCAATTTCTATTTCAGGCTATTTTTGCTCTTCAAAATAGGGTCGTCAGAAATGTGTCCAAAGCACCTCCAAGAACCCATTGCTAACCTCTCTTTATCGAACACAATATTTGCCATCTTTGTTCATTTTGTAAACAGCCTGTTTAATACACAAAAATAAGCATTGCTTTCCCCATCACGAACAAGAGTACGCGACTCGTCGGGAAAAGACATTCCTTTGCCAATTCCACACTTTAGTCTGGTCAATGTGGACCCGCAGTTACGAAGTGTTCAAGATTTGAAGTGCTATCGAATATTAAAAGAAAAATCTGTAAAATATTTCCATAAGTCTGAAGATTTTTGCCCAAAGATTCATCGTGTTGAAATGTATTACGGTAAAGTCTTTTAAATTGTATTTTCCTGACTCATCAGAAAACTTTCAGTTATCATCCTAATATCAATATAATTTTTCTTGTCTAGATATCATGGCCATTTGCTACTCTCCCACATAATCGACAAGTTCGCCATCCATCGAAAAATCGTGTTGCAAGTTTTTCATTCTTTATTAAAGGCTCACGCCGTTGAGGCTCGAAATGTGGTCAGACAGGCACTGGAAATTCTTACACCGTCGATGCCTTTAAGAATGGAAAAAGGTAAAAATTTTACTTTGCCATAAGGGTATTTATTTAAATTTGAAAAATAATTCTAGGCTATGATATGTTGACACACTGGACAAAAAAAATCCTAACGGACGAGGGACATTCTATGCAGCAACTTTTCCATATTTTACAATTAGTTGTCAAGCATTATAAAGTAAGCTTTATAAAACCTTTCAAAGAATACATTTATAAAAATAAAATTTTAAGGTGTATTATCCAGTACGTCACGATTTGGTTCAGCATATGGTTAGTTCCATACAAAGACTGGGCTTTAGTGCAACAGCTACTTTAGAGCATCGTAAATTGGCCGTGGAGCTAGCTGAAGTTATAATTAAATGGGAATTATATGGGATTAAAGATGAGGTTACACCAGAAGTAAGTTTATAATTTGTTCTTAGGGGACTATCTGTAATTATTTGTATATTAGTCCAGGCTTGCCAATAGGAAAAACAAATCTCTTTTTGACTGTAATAGCAATGGATTTGTTGCTTCCTTGTGTCTGTTGCTACTAAAGAAACAATATATTTCCTGATGGATCCGTATTAGACTTATCTATGTAATTTAAAATTTCTTTTCTTTAGGGTCAAAATGATGTGGAACATGTCAGGAAAAAGCTGGCAATAGCTTCCAGTTCTGGCACACCTACGCCATCAAATGTTAAACCAGGCGAGCAAACCCCTGTTGTACAAGAGCACATTGACAAAAGACACACCGATAACGTGTTGTTTTGTTTGCTTCGATTGGCTTGTCAGGTCAATGAAATGTCGCCGCAAAATCCTATTAATCCAGGCACCACTAGTCCAGGAGAATTGCTGTCTCGCCGCTGTGTGATTTTATTAAAGAATGCCTTAAAACCGGAATTATGGATGGAGCCCGTTGATTTGAATTTAGCATTTTTCCATAAAATTTTAGTGTCTGTTGCGGCCCCGACTCACAATATTGCCAATATCAGTACCGCGTTGGAACTGTTAACGTTTTTGTTGACTGTTTTGACAAAAAAGCAAATTCTGGATCAGTATAAAATGCTTCAGGTGGGAGTTTATTCATTGTTTTTCCGATGAAAATGTTTTCATAATTGTTCTTTTTTTAGGAAGGGCTATCAGCTTGCGTGGTATCCTCGGATGAAAAAATAATACAACTGATGCACAATTTTCTCACTAAATTGTTCGTTATTATACCATTAGAAAGGGTAAATAAGGTTGAAGAGTTGAATATCTTATATACCAAGATAAACGATGAAATTTTAAAAGGGCTAAATGCTTATGAAGAAAAGAAATCACCACAGGGTAAGTTAACATTGATTACCAGTCAGAAGCCATTTAATCCAAACTCCAACAAATTCTTGAACTCATTAAGAAAGTTAGATCTTGAGTCCTAAGTAGATCAAAACTTGAATTTGCTTCTGATCTCATGCCCTCCAAGAAATAGTTCCATATCGTTTATTTGATAGTTTCAGCTCTTTACGGAATCCTTATGATCCTAAAAGCGGCCTGCAACAACCGTCCCAACTATATTGATACTATGATTTCACCATTTATGCGCATGTTGCAACGGCTCACCAAAGAACACCTCCAACCGCCTTCGCAAGAATTCGCAGTTCGCATTGTCGACGCTCTGATCCTTAGTCTGGATCTCGTCAAGACTCGTATCGAAGCTATGGGGGTGGACATGCGTAAAACGTTTATTGGTGCCATTCTGGTTGGATTGATGGAGAAAACTCCAGACGTCAGAGTAAGAAACGAACTATTGTGAAAAACAATTAATTAAATTCCAAATTAATATCTTCAGGTGATGAAAGCCATAACAAAAATGTTAGAAGACTGGATGATGCACAAGATTCCAGGATCGATGAACCCGACTCCAAGTTCAAGGGAAAAGTCTATTTTGTTGGTAAAACTGACGCAGTACGTTGAGAAACGATTTCCAGAAGACAACGAACTGAATGCTCAATTTTTGGAACTGGTCAACTTCGTTTACACTGACGAGCATTTGAAAAATACTGAACTTGTGTCCAAATTGGAGCCGGCGTTTTTGGCCGGTTTGAGGTGCACTCAGCCGAATATTAGAGCCAAATTCTTCAAGGTAACGGTCTCTCTCATTTATATTTTATTTAGTTCGAATATTCTTGTATCTGAGACAAACATAGTTTTCAAACACTTTCTATCACAGTGTGAAATGCTCCAGTCAATTTAACAAAAGAATAAAAATAATCAAACTTTACCCGTTACCCTAAATCTTGAGACAGTCTAATAGTCCAGGAAATTAGTAGTTTAGTCGAGAAAAAATCCCACGCTTAGGTTTTATTACTATGTTTTCAGGTGTGTTGAATCCGAATTTCAACTTGGCGACGCGGTATCGTGGTCGCCTCTAGCCGAAATTTAACAATTAATTCAAATTTCATGGTTTTTTTCTTATTTATTTGATATAAACTGGGTTTTATTAAATTTTGTTGGGGGCAGTACCTACTCCATGTTTTCAGGGGTGCTGAATGAATATTAAAAATAAGAAACCAGTGCTGCCACAATCGTCGGTAGTTTTGGTAGGTGAAGCCGGAAATTATTGGGAAAATTGACAACACTTAATAGGTACAGTACATACAGTACAGTAGTTCGAACGCGTCAACAGTCAGGTCGTTTAAATGTGCGCTCCAGTTTTTATCAGTTTTTACCATTTAAAAATTAAAATCAAAATTTGAATTTTATATCCAATTACTCAGAAAAAAAAAGTAATTCAATCAATATCCTAAATTGTTTCGAGTGTAGCATAACAAATGTGGAATTTACATTAGAAACGTTAAACAATATAATATTCATTATAAAAGTGACAACACAAAACATATGTGATGAAATTATTTAGGAATTTATCATTCAGTCTCGAGTAAATTTATTCATCAGTTATAGTTATTTATGTATCAAGGGAATTATGAAGGTGTTAATACCCCAGGGCAAAGTTTGTGCCCACCAATGTACCAATTGCCCGTGGGTATTAACACCTAATAATTTCCGTGGTACATAGATAATTTTATTTCCTACTGAATTTACTGTATTTTATCCATTTTTATTAAGGAATAAACCATAAACCAAAATTTCTATTTTTTGTCAAAATTTCACCTCCAAAATCAATACTTTGTTCAGAGCATAGGCCTATAAACACATTACCAGTTTATGAGTAGGGTGTGGAATTGCTGGTGAAGGAGCAGCTGCTTCATTATTTGGATACAAATAATATTTTGGTAGAGCAACAATCAGGATACAGACAGAAACATTGATGCGAAACGGCTTTGCAGTTTTTGATATCGGGTTGGAAATCTCAAATACAGAAGAAAAAAGTCATTGGTGTAGTATTTTTGGATCTCAGTAGAGCTGTCTAGGTGCTTTAAATTTATACAGGGTGTCTCAGATCATAGGACATTTTTTTCAATTTTCAATATCCAAGTTTTTTCCGCACTTGTTAGGTAAATAGCTATTCCATATGCCTACCAGACGTCCGGTCGCTAAATTTTCATTTTTTGAGCTCAGCACTGACATAACTTTCAGTGGTTGAAATCCCCGAAAAGAGAAAATCGGTCAGCAAAATCTGTCATTAGCTGACGGTTTAGAAAGTGTGAGATTAAAATCGACGGACAATAAGTCAAGTGATAAATAGTGACGGAATGCGTACTGAGTGACTGTGTAAATAATAATATTTGCGTTTAGCAGTCCTCTCTTGACTTGAAGTATGACATGGTTTATGGTAACTGCTGTTAATTTTACATCGTTTAAACGTTCAAAATGTTATAAGCTGACTACGCCTACCTGTGCAACCTCTTCTGCTTTAGGTTTTCGTGTATCTTCTGACTACGAGCCACTGCCCATTCAGTAGTCACACACACTATTCCTTCCATTGAATGAAACGTGTTTTGTCCATCTAACGTTTGTCCGTTGAAGTCTGCATTATTGAATACTATTTGGGAAAGGGTTTTTTTGTTTGGCACCATCGGAGGCTGCATTATGGCTGATATTTCGAATTTCTTGGCTTCATTGTATGACGCACAGCAGCCCAATGTTGACAGCACATCGATCAATATCCGCTAGCCATACTTCTTGTATATAAATACAGCTCAACCGACCTGTAGCGAAGACAAAAATGAATGTGGCCTAATTGCAGCCATTAGACAATGTGCAATTGCTGTTGCTTTCCTGGACCACTCTGTTTTTTGTGTAGAATAACGGCCTCAGTAAACACTCTGAGATTCTCGGGAATTATGTCTTGTGCTCCTTACAAAATATCAGGTGAGGAAAGATACTTACCAAGTGGTGTTGTGAACTTGCCCACGTATATCTCCTGCAAATATAGCAGCCGATGGTTCCAGAATCCGAAGTCATCTCTTTTGCCATGCATCTGTTAGGATCTTGTGGTCGGCCTTTTAAAAGCAAACAACATAGGGGGTAGGTAATTGATGATATAATTATGTCATTTCCATATTTTTCAATCAGTCGAACTCTTATGGTCTTGAGATGTGGTATGATATCTCCTCAACTTTTGCTGATTAGCTCGTCCATGGAAGATGGGCACTACTCATCATTGCTTTCAAGAAATTTGTAAATAATTGATGTCATTACATCATCAACTACAAGGTCTGCCAGCCCGTTCTAATGGATTTAAAGTATACCTTCTTCAAGTTTGATCTATGATACTTGGCGTTAGCTGCAGGTAAGTCACACACAGGCAGAATCCGTCTGCGTATGTTGTTAGCAAACTCAGTGTTCAGTTTCGTCAACGCGCGCTGTATGTAGTTGTAGGTTAAATTGGGTATTTAGGATGTCAAATGCCATTTTGGAATGGAAATTAATTCGTTTTTTTTTTCTCTTTATTTTATTTTTCTTTTATTCTAATTGAATTGCGCGTGCTATATGCCATATGCCTAAGAATTGATACGATTTTGCTAAATTTGGCTTTTAAAAATGCGCGCGTTAAACACTAAAAAAGGATATCTGCAAAGTCCTTACGCCGACGAGTAAAGTCAGTCGCCAAAAACACTCCGTCCGTTTCGTGTGGTTCGAGAAAATAGACCTGGGGTCCTATTTTCGAATATTTTCGCATTTGAAATTTGATACGATTTCGAATACTTCCCATTTAATTTACATTGCTGTCAGTCAAATTTCGTGTACAAAATGTACTCGAATGGTTTCGAAAATCGCACCCCTGCAGTTTTTTTTATTTGCCGCGACCGGTTAAATCAAGACAGTTTCGTTTGTACTCCTTCGCATTGGACTTGAACTTCCTGAAAGAGCTGGCCAGCTGAGTGGAGTTTGGAAGTAAAGCCAGGAGGTGAAAAAATATCCTTTTCAATTTCGAAATCGTCAAATCATTCAAAACACCCTTTCCTGACACGGATTTCCTGGACTATAATTTGAGCTTAGACACTGAAGCTGAAAAACTAGACTGAAAGTTTCGCTAATTTTCTCTTGGAATTTTTAGTTCTTAGAGATGCAAGATACATTATCCAATAATGTAAAAACTTTGCCTAAAACAAGTACACTTTTATTTGATTGTAGGTGTTTGATAATTCTATGAGACGTCGTCTCTATGATCGCCTTCTCTACATAATCAGTTCACAAAATTGGGAATCCATCGGCCAACAATACTGGATAAAACAAGTTATAGAACTACTTTTGGTCACATCGACTTCAAAAATCGGTATCGAAATGTCGCACCAAAGTAGCATTTTGCCTAGCATAACTTCAGTTATAAGACAAGAGAAACGAACCGAATTTCAAAAAACTAATCCGGAAAATGCCCAATTTTACGATTGCACCGAAATTAAAGAGGAAGTAAGTTGATTGGTTGGTGGTGATAAGCTATTTTGTAAGCAAATTTTATGTTTTTAGGTCATTGATTTAGATCTGTCTAATGTGGAAGTGGCACATACTGAAGAGAAGCCACAAAGTAGAGCGGAATCTATTACTCAAATGATTAATAAGCATTTTGAATTTATTGAGGTAAGATGAATATTATACTTGCCGTTTCAATTAGAATGTTCAATACTGTATCTTAATGGCCTTTTTAGGTTCTCCGTAATATAACCACCGAACAATTCCTCCTGGCAGCGGCCCAGCTATGCCACATGGACACCAGCTTGGCTGAGCATGTGTGGCTCAGCATATTCCCTCAATTGTGGCAATTGTTAGACGAAGACGAACGCTCAATTTTAGGCCCAGAAATGACTCCATTTATCACTTCTGGAACGCATATTATTCAGAAAGATTGCCAGCCGAGCGCCATGAATACTTTCGTTGAAGCTTTGTTCAGGTGCACTCCTCAAATCGAAATGGAACCGCCGACTATGAAGTATATAGGAAAAAGTCATAATTTGTGGCACCGGATGGCTTTGACGATGGAGCAGCAAGCTTATGAAATGACTGGGACTGGTAAAGGGAATAATATTCCATCTGCTGCAAGTAGTAGTAGTGCTAGTTGTTACGAGTTTGAAGGAGAAGAACCCCATCAAGTAGGTCATTTTTGTTAAATTTTGCGATATTGTTGACAAAAACTTTTTTTTTTAGAATGAGTTACTAGACTCCCTAGCTGACTTATACCATCAAATGTGTGAAGAAGACCTATGGGCAGGTTTATGGCAAAAACACGCCCATTATAGAGAAACAAGTATTGCCATCACTTACGAGCAACATGGCTTCTTTGAACAAGCTCAGGGGGCCTATGATGCTGTTATGGAGAAATATAAAGGTAAACATTTCTCCCTATTACAGATAATTATTTTCTTCAAAAAACACGTTTTTAGTTGATGCCAGTTCAGGACCAATTCCAGCCACTCACAACCGGGAGGTCCTTTTATGGGCCAACCATTGGATTAGGTGCGCCAAAGAATTACAAATGTGGGATATTTTAACAGAATATGCTAAAAAGTCGGACGAGTATTTGCTTTTGCTAGAGGTACTAATTTTATTTGATCTTATAATTGTATAATATAAAAATTCCTAATTAATTTTAGAGCGCTTGGAGAATTTCCAAACCCAACTGGGAATATATGAAAGAAGCCTTGGCGAATGTAGAATTTTGCTGTCCCAAAGAAATGGCTTGGAAAGTGACCCTTTATGGCGGATTTCTTATAATTTGCCAACCGGAGGACAGCAAGCCGCTTTTGTATGTCGAAAGGTGATTTTTATTCTCAAATTTGAGCCTGCCTCTTCTAAGCTTTTCAAATTTCATAGATATGTCGAAAGTGCCAGCGCTCTGTGCCTAAACGAATGGCGTCGTTTGCCACACATCGTTAGCCATATTCATTTGCAATACTTACAAGCCGCGCAGCAAATTATAGAATTGCAGGAAGCTTACCAAATCCATAAAGGACTCTTACAGGGTAAGAATTTTATGGTAGTCCAATTAGGCTCTAAGAACTTGAAGCAATAATTGTTTAGTTTGTGCCTATTTTTGAACATACTTTTTCAAATTTAATTCCCCCTTGTTAGTCAGTTTTGAATTATACAAATATAATATTCCATGTGCAACTTAGTGAAGCAATATCATGCGATACCTCAAAATTTTCAGGAAAATGTTGAGATTACAAATTTTATTGGGGCGTATCTAGTAATGGCGGCAGAAGGGTGAGAACCACCCTTGAACTACCCTACTGCGTATATTATGCAAAAATATATTTTCCTAATTATAATTATTGGATTTCATAGTATTGTCATAACTGCCCGCTTTACAGGGTTGTCATGAGGGGTTTGTAGCTTTGGGGGTCGATGGAGAGAAACTTGTTCAAGTTATATAAAAGTGTAGATATACCGGGTGTCTACGAGATCAGTTTCGCACTGGTATTTGCTGTTTTTTTTCTCGATGGTAAATATTTTTGGTATGGAGTGTAGGTTTGAGAAATGTCATCTTTTGACATGTGTGTCAATGTTTGGTAACTTCCGGTTTGACCGGAAATGGTCCTAACTCCGTAATTTTGAATAGCATCCCAATAATTTTTTCGCATTTTTGGTATCTACGGATCATGATGTGTACTAAAACGTCAAATTTGAACATTTTTGAAGAAATTTTAGAACTCTGGATGAAAATTTATTTTTGAACAGAAAGTGACAGACCGGTCCTAAAATTGTTATTTTCAACCCACACAATCGTAGAAAAATGCGAGTGCCAAGAGTTATCCTTTGCTTGCTCTCCAAAGTTGAAAAAATCACATCTTGCGTGATAACTCAATGAAATCAGTGAAATCACCCAACTTTCACAACAAGATTTTTTTACCTTTTTCAAAATAAAACCAACTATGCATTGAAACTTTTCATTTATGTTAGTTTTTAATTATTTTCTTATTATTTTTATAATGCACTACTATAAATGTTAAAACTACTTATAAATGAACCCCTGTATGAAAAACGCTTTTCAAAAGGAGCTGGTGTTTTTTTTTCTTGACAAGCCATTGACAAGATCTGTGGGTAAGAGGCAAGATATGTTTATTTGTCATTGTTTGACATCTCGGGAATTTGTAAATAAATACAAAGTTTGAATACAGGGGTTTATTTATAAGTAGTTTTATCAGTTATAGTAATGCATAGTAAAAATATTGGAAAAATAATTAAAAACTGGCATGAATAAAAAGTTTTAATGCATAGTTGGTTTTATTTTGAAAAAGGTAAAAAACATTTGATATGAAAGTCGGGTGATTTCACTGATTTCATTGAGTTATCACGTAAAATGTGATTTTTTCAACTTTGGATGCCTTTGGAGAGCAAGCAAAGGATAACATCTTGGCACTCGCATTTTTCTACGATTGTGTGGGTTGAAAATAACAATTTTAAGACCGCTCCGTCACTTCCTGTTCAAAAATAAATTTTCATCCAGAGTTCTGAAATTTCTTCAAAAATGTTCAAATTTGACGTTTTCGTACACATCATGATCCGCAGATACCAAAATTGTGAAAAAATTATTGGGATGCCATTCCAAATTACGGAGTTAGGACCACTTCCGGTCAAACCGGAAGTTACCAAACATTAACACACATGTCAAAAGATGACATTACTCAAACCTACACTCCATACCAAAAATCTTTGCCATCGAAAAAAAACTCACCAAATGCCAGCGCGAAACTGATCTCGTAGACACCCGGTATATTTTCCCAAATATACCCTTACATGTACGCTAGTCCTATAAGATGCATGACCCTTCGAACACTGGGACCCTTATAGGGAGCTACACGTCAACGCTGCTTGGGGGACTATCCATTTATTATTGTCACCCTTATGCCTTGTCCAGATGGGCTTTCCCAACGAGAGGTATTGGTCAACTATTTATATCAATTTATTGCTGAATTGCAATAAACATCCGATCGAATCGGCAATTAAATTAATAAGGTTGAATACTGGGTCCTCCTTTCCCAAGCAGCTAGTTGACATATGCCCCCCCCCCTCCATGAAGCATTGGACTCCAATGCTTGGAAGACATTTAAAACAAAATATATACAAATACCATAATAATGTCAAAAAATACAATAATACCCTAATCCTAAAAATATCCCTTTTTTACAATAATAGCCTAATTATAAAATATCCCTGCTTAACAATTATATAATCCAAATATCGCGTATAGAAAAAAAATTAAAAATTAAAATTAACAAAAGTTCTTTATGGTGGGATGGGTTAGGGTGCATTATTATTCAGGTTACTACAAAAAAAAAATCTTACAACTAAGAAATTTCATCAACTTCATAGCTTCAGCCATGGGTCTTTTGGTCCGGTCCTGTTTTCTGAATTGTGGGTCTGTTCTGGTTCCAAATACTTCTTGGTGGGTCAGCTAGATTGTGGGGGTGTTAACGGTCCCACGGTCTAAGTGTCGTTTCCTGGTTTGTTATGCTTCTTTCTTGTTCATTGTGCTGTATTCTGTCTTCCAAGTGGATTGGTTCTGGCTCCAAGTACTTCCTGGTACACGGCCCAAGTAATCCATGATCAATTCTTTTGTGAGTGTGGTGGAAGTAGTACTGTGGTCCGTCTACTTTAGGTCCATACCCATTTGTTTCTTCTGGTTTGAAGTTCCTAGCCCCTGCTCAGTCCAGAGCTAAGGTCCTTCTATTACAATACCTTCCCTCGAATTTGTTTTGTAGCCCGTCCCTGGTTGCTGGTTTTGTATATACATGCAAAAAATAAAATAATATTTTTAAAAAAATGTCCTTATTCCTATAATTAGTTTAATTATGACCCACATCACCAAATTTCATCATTTGGTTATTTGTTGATCATGGCTCCACTAGTTTCTTCTTATATTGAGCTCATTCCTCTCCATCCCTCCTTGTTTACTCTATTTAATGTGTTACTCTATTTTTTCATCCTATCTCTACTTCCTATTTCCCTACTTCATAGTTTTGCTTATGTTTTATCTGTACAATCAGTCTTCTTCTTCCTCGTTTTCTGCTTCACTGCTTCCAATTTCCTCTTCAATTTTTTCTTCGTCGTCTTCATCTTCATCAATTTTAGATTCTGCGTTTTCAGCTATATCTGTCTCATCTGCCCTTTCTTCAATAGACGCAGCTTCTGTCCATGGAGTAAGGTAACATCCTACTCACGTGGACCGTGTCCTTTTTTCTGCTTCCAATCTTTTGTACCTCATAATTCACTTCTCCTATTTTTCTAATTACTTTGTATGGTTCAAACCATCTTAAGAGTAATTTTTCGCTTCTTCCAACCTTTCTAATTGGTATGAACACCTTAACTTTGTCTCCAACTACGAAATCTAATTCTCTATGTCGTTCGTCAAAACGTCCCTTATCTTTTCCTTGCCTTTTCTGTATATTTTCTACTGCTATGGCTCTTATTAAGAGTGCCTTTTCTCTAATTTGCAGAGCGTCCGTTTCGTTGTCAGCGTCCAACAATGCAGCTTCTGCTGGTAGTGTGGGTTCCGTTGCATATTTTAACATAAATGGGCTAAATCTCGTTGTGTCCTGTATTATACGCAAATATTATAAATGGTAGATAGCTACACCAGTCCGTTTGCTGTGTGTTACAATACGTGGATAACATGTCAGCTATTGTCTTATTTAGCCTTTCAGTGAGACCATTACAACAAGGATGGTACTGGTATGCGGTTGTAAACTGGCTTCTTACTCCCATTAATTTTCCTAATTCCCTTACTAATTCCGATTGAAAGACTTTTCCTCTGTCGCTGAGCAGATATCTTGGCATCCTGTGTATCAAGAATACTTTTTCCAGTAAAAAATTTGCATCTGGTCCGGCTTTCCCATTCGGTAGGGGGCTGTGATGGCATATCGTGAGGCGTAATCGGTAACTACGACTGTCATTGTTTTCCCTTTACTGCTTCTTCTAAATGGGCCTAAAAGATCAATTCCGATTTTGTCGAAAATTGTTCCCACCGGTATTGGTTGTAACATCCCTGGCGTTTTTCTGTAAGGTTGCCCCTTTCTAGCTTGGCAATCTGGGCATCCCTTAAAGTACTTTTCTATGTCCTTTAGCATTCCGCCCCAAAAAAATCTGTTTTTAATTTTGTCCGCTGTTTTGCTCAGTCCCAAGTGTCCACTTGTCGGTGATGCATGTAGCTCCCACATAATTTCTTTCATTGATTTTGGTACTACTAATACTTTTTCTAAGCCGTTTTTTGTCTTATTTATTTTATAGAGTAAGTCTTTTTCAATCCTAAAATTTTTTGCTCTTCTTCTGATGTCAATATTAATTTCTGGGTCGTCTGGGTTTCTAATAGCTTTGAATATTTGTTTTAGACATGGGTCTTTTTCCTATAATGAAGCCGTTTGTACTGATTTTAGTGTGAATGTGGGGAGCTCCTCTTTCTCTTCTTTTTCCTGGGATTCTGGTTGAAGCACTGGATTGACATACAGTCGGCGTCGCTATGTGTTGAGCCTTTTTTATATACAACCGTGTACTCGAATTCTGCAAGTTTTAGTGCCCACCTGGCCAAGCGTCTGTTGCTTTCCTTAATGGAGTCCATCCAGCAAAGAGCATGGTGGTCAGTGACGATTTTTACTGGTCTTCCGCAAATTAAGTGTCTCAGATAGCTCAAAGCCCACACTACGCCTAAGAGTTCTAATTCACTAATTGAATAGTTTTTTTCGCTATTTGAAAGACTTCTGCTTATGTAGGCTATTGGATGTGCTACTCCTTTGTCGTCTTCTTGTAAAAGTACTGCCCCAATTCCACATGTTGCTGCGTCGGTGTGCAAAATGGTATCTTTATTTGGATTGAAATGCTGTAGCACAGGTGCGGAAACCAGTTTTTCTTTAAGGATGTTAAATGCTTTGTTTTGTTCAGAACCCCATTTGAACCCTATGTTCTTTCTTGTAACTTCATGTAGCGGTCTTGCTATTGATGCGAAGGTATATATAAATTTTCTATAAAAATTACATAATCCTAGAAAGCTCTGTACATCTTTAATTTTCTTTGGCGTCGGGAACCCTTTCATGCAAATAATTTTTTCTTCGTCTGGTAATATGCCTTGATCCTTTACTTTGAATCCTAGTATTTTGATTTCTTTTTTCAAATATTCGCATTTGCTTGGTTTTAGAGTAAGGTTAGCTTGTCGCAATCGCTCAAAAACTTTCTTCAGTTTGCTCAAGTGTTCTTCGAATGTTTGTGAGAATATAATGATGTCGTCTAGGTAGATTAGCACTTCCTTCCATTTCATATCCCAAGCTACTGATTTACCCACCAAGAATTACTAATGCCAGGTTAGTCCGTTCCATAATGGATATTTTTGGGATTTTATCAATTTTGATTTACACTTTATGATATATTGAAATTTCATCTTTATCAGCCAGTCATTGATCATTAATGAAATGCTATAATTTAAATTACTGTGAACCAAAGATATGCGCATATACTAGGTCTGCTAGTTCTTGGAAAGTGGCTGGAGCGTTGCATAATTCAAAACTTAAAACATTAAATTCGTAAGTCCCATGTCCTTGCGCCACGAAGGCAGTGTATTGCTTGGACTTCTTTTCGACTGGAACTTGCCAATATCCGGAAAACATATCGAGTGTGTTGAACCATTTTGCATTGCCGAAGTATGACAAAATGTCATCGATCTGCGGTAGTGGGTATGTTGATTTTTTTGTTACTGTGTTAACCTTTCTGTAATCTACACAAAATCTTGTTTTTCCATCTTTTTTCTTAACTAGTACTACAGGGCTAGCCCATGGAGAGTGGCAAGGCCGAACTACTTCACTATCGAGCATTTCCTGGATTTGTTCGTCAATAATCTGTCTTTCTTTTTGTGACAGTCTGTATGGGCGGCTCTTTATTGGGCGAGCCTCTCCGACGTCTATTATGTGTTCTGTTAAGTTTGTCTTTCCCATAATATGTTTTGTAGATTTCGCGAAAACGTCGTTGTATTCCAGGAGTTCTTTGAGTTCATGCATGTTCTTCTCGTTTGTGATGCTGTCTAACTTATGATCTTCCATTGTTATTTCTTCGCTCTCTTCATCTTTTTCTGCTTGCAACATGAAATTGTGTGAAAGATTTGTCTCTGATGCTGTTTCTGCCAAAAATGCCATTGTGGTTCCGGCGTATATACCTAACTGGGTTTCTTGTGTTTGATTGTACTTTTAAAATGAGGCTACCTTGATTGGTGTGAATGTGCGTTTTTAGTTCAAGATGATTTTTTGCTAACCAGTCTGAATTATATTTACATGTATACATAGTATTATCTTTAATCTGACTAGGTTTGCTCATAATTCCAATGTTTTTAACTCATTCTGAGACACCATATAATCTTTTTTTTGTACCCACTTTATATGTCTTTTTCTTAGTTTCTGTACCGATTTGCATCAGATGCCTAATTTCTTCTTCCTGCTTTCCTTCTTTAACTTTATACCCAGGTTTTTCCCTATAAATGTGAATTTGGACCCCTGCATCTTCGACTAGAAAATATATCATCTGTTTAAATCTTGCCCATTCTTTTTCTAATCCCAATCCTTGTCTTGGGATGCATTTATTTATACATGTTTCTTGGACTTGGCTTCTCCTTCATTGAATCTCTTGTGAATAGAAAAATTACTAATTTTTTTCCTTGATTTGACATAGATAGCTCCTCAATGGTCCCTTTCTCCCTGTTTTTTGGAATCATATGCCTATCTTTTCTGAAAACTGATTTTTTTGATTTGTAGTTTTGAGTTACTCCTACTACTAAAACGGTGTCGTTCGTTAGGACGTCTATGTTTCCATATTCTTCTTTCAGGTGACCGTTAACCTGGTCATCTTTTATGTGAATGTGCTCTCTTACAAACTTGTTAAACTCTTGTTCATCTCTTAAAGTATCTACTGTAGTCTTGTGGTTTTGTAGTCTAAACTCTCTCGTTCTAGTCGGCTGTTTTGTTGTGACCAGACCTGACATGTTGATTTTTTCGTTATTCATTTGTCGGGGTATTTCATGCTGACCATTCAGAATCAGTTTTTTCCGTGGGAAATCTATGATCGCGTTATTTTTTGTCAAAAACTGCATGCCTAGGATTATTGGTTGAGTTAATGATGAAATCACCCTGGCGTTTAGTCTGCCCTTCTATTTTTGACTCCTTGGTATTTCTATCGGAACTTCAATGTCTCCCAAAACTTTTATCTGGTGACTTATTATTTAATCTAATTGTGATATGCAAAATTCCTATGTTATTGTTCTTTCCCAGGGTGAGGATGACAGGGGCTTTTAATTTCGCCATCCCATCTCGTTTGGGTTTTGTCGTCGGGTTGTACAGGTGTTTGCATAGTGACCCTGTTTTACACAAACAAAGCAACCAGGATTGTTTTTGTTGTTCCGTGGCGTATACGATTTGTTCCTTTGAGGCTGGCTTCTGCATACTGTTGCAGTATGTCCTGTTTTCCCACAGTTGTAACAAACGGTGGCAATTTTTGAGTTGGAGTTATAATTTCTCATTTTTTTTGCTCCTGCATACAGCTGCGAAGTGTCCTGTTTTTCTACAATTATAACACGTTTGGCTAGATATTGGTACTCTTGTGCTTGTGTGTGGCCATTACATGTCCTCTTTTTCCACAATAATGACATATCTTTAGTTCTGTGTCCGTGATTGTATTTCTTTCCGTACAGCTGGTAATTTGGGTATCTTGCGTTGCACCTTTCTTCGGAGCTGTGTCTATCGTGTCTGCTATTTCTTTTAATTGTATAAGTGATGTTGGTGGCTTGATCGGCAGGTTTGTTAACCAGTAGTAATTGTAATGATTTGCCTCCGTCAATCCTTCGCTAAAAATCCTTACAAATTCTTGTATATCAAATGTATGTGTGTAATTGTGGTATAATACTTGTAAATCGTACAAGTATTCCTTGACTGACTCATCTTGACCCTGTTTTTTGGCTTCGACTTTTTTCTTGAGTGCCCTTTGGTAATCTGTATCCTCAAATTCCTTTGAAAAATCTTTGACAATGTCTTTCCAGCTGTTATTTTGGTGGTCGCGCTTATATTCCTAAAACAACAGGTTTGCGGCTCCGTTTAAATATGTTTCAAAATAAACAATTTTCAGCTTTTCGTCCCATCCATTTGCTATCGCACCAAATATGTCACAACTGCCCGCTTTACGGGGGTGACGGGGGGTTTGTAGCTTTGGGGGTCGATGGAGAGAAACTCGCTCAAGTTATATAAAAGTGTAAATATATATTTTCCCAAATATGCCCTTACATGTACGCTAGTCCTATAAGACGCATGACCCTTCGAACACTGGGGCCGTTAATTCCAGAGGGGCTTTCCCAACGAGAGGTAGTTGCACTGGTTTAAGTCTGCCTGTTGCTTGGCTTGGCCAACTATTTATATCAATTTATTGCTGAATTGCAATAAACATCCGATCGAATCGGCAATTAAATTAATAAGGTTGAATACTGGGTTCTCCTTTCTTAAGCAGCTAGTTGACAATACATAACTATGAAAATAAAAATCTTTTTGGAAGCATTTTCTGCTATCTTTTCAGAGCTAATAGTATATTGTTGTATTAGGAGTAGAAGCTTTACTTTTTTGTGCTGAAGCAGTAGGTTTGCGAGCCGAACGTAGTGAGGCTTGCAATACTGCTGAAGCACAAAAAAGTGCTTCTACTCCGTATGCAACACGCTATTTTTTCTCCAAACGAATGTGGTAAGATCGGGGGTAACTGGATGGTTGAGCGGCAGTAAAAGCACGAGCGGCACTAAAAGTACTTTTACTGCCGCTCCAGCGGCACCAAAAGTACTTTTGCTGCCGCTGGGGTTGCCAAACAGCATAGAAATTAAATTTCTACCACCTCGACAGGTGTTAACCTCCTGGATTTGCCTAGCAACATAGAAATTGAATTTCTACCATCTTGACAGGTGTTGACAAAGTGATGTTTTTTTGACGTTTGGAGAAAAAATATTTTATTTTTTTTCACGTAGGGATGTTTTAGGGTTATTTTTTCCCTTCTGTCACCTCCACAGGTCACGCCCCAACGTAATCAATACATTTTTCCGAGAATTTTGATGTATAGCACTATATTGCTTCACAAAGTTGCATACGGATTACTAATTTAAAACTAACTATGTCTGGCAACTTTTAATCCAATTTTTTGAGACTTAACTTGTGTATTCTGTGAAAACCAACAGGCCTTTAATGTGCGTTACTCACTGACTAATCCCACTTTGAATTAATATACCCATCAGTTGATATAAAACTTGCTCAATAATAATTTAACACTAACTCCACCAATGCCATAAATGAGATCTAAGGAAAAATATTCTATTGTGTTTTTTTTTTCTCTAGGTGGTCATCCAAACTCACTGCATGACATAAAAGCAACGGCCAAAACATGGAGCAACCGTTTACCTGTCATTGCCGACGACCTCGTGCATTGGAGCGACATCTTTTCCTGGCGCCAGCATCACTATCAAGCGATAGTGAAACACTATGAGCAGAATCGAGAGGCCAATATGGCAAATTCGAAATTAGGTATTTTTCATCACTGTTATTATTTTTTTTTTACATATGTCTAATCGTTATCTTATGGATAAATCGTATCAATTATTTTTTTCTTTTCCAAGGTATGCACGCATCAGCCCAATCTATAATTCATTTCGGAAAGATTGCTTGTAAACAGAAACTGACCAACGTATGCCTTGACTCGTTGAACAAAATTTACAGCATATCGAGTGTACCCGTAGTAGACTGTTTCCAGAAGGTCCGGCAACAAGTCAAGTGCTATTTACAAATGGCTTCTATGAACAACAAGAATGAGTTACAGGAAGGTAAGATTTTAACCGCACAAAGTGTGCAATTTATATTTTAATCGATGATCCTTTTTTAAGGCTTAGAAGTAATAAACCACACAAAAATGCAATACTTTGGCAAAGATATGACAGCAGAATTTTACGCCCTGAAAGGCATGATGTATCACTTGAGTGGAAAATCCGATGAGGCCAACAAATCCTTTTCAGCGGCTTGCCAATTGCACGATGGCTCCATCAAAGCTTGGGCTCTGTATGGAGATTATTTGGAAAACCTTTTCATCAAAGATCCTAGACAAATAGACTACGGCGTCAACGCTATGCTGTGCTTCCTTTACGCTTGCAAACACCAAAACGAAGCCAAAGCCAGAAAATATATTGCCAAAGTTTTATGGCTGTTAAGCTACGACGACGACAAAAATAGTTTGTTAGATGCTCTGGATAAATATGCTGTAAATGTACCGGCAATTTTATGGTTACCCTGGACTCCGCAATTATTAAACTGTTTGAAAAATTACAAAGGAAACGTTATATTGAATTTATTGTGTCAAGCCGGCAGGATGTTTCCTCAAGCCATTTATTTGACTGTGAGGCTTTTGTATTTGACGTTTAGGTCAGCGACTGCTAGGAAAACGAACACGGCTCAGCAACAAGCGACACAAGAATCTCAGAAAACCGAGAGTAAGTGTTGTTTTCTCGAGTGTACGATTTTAGATTTAGGTACATATTTATTATTATTCTCTAACTTTAAACATCGCTGTAAATTCCTGTATTGGAATTTAGGAGATGGCTCGGAACATTTGGTAGTTTGTTGTTTGTGGTTTGTAGGTTGGGTTAGTACACCCGGGAAGTTTGACAAACGTCATGAACAATGGTAGTTAATTAGAAAGAATAAATCGCTGACAAAAATTTGTTGTGTACTCCACATAGAAAGATTTGGTAATTAAACTTTTGATGACGCTGCGTCTGGTATAGATCGTAGTATTGCCTATGTTTCCTGGTGACCCACTGGCGGTGTGTTGGTGTCGATGACTTAGGAGTACCCTGGACGCTAATTATTAATTAATTTTGGTAATGATTTTGATACATGTAATTTAGGGCCTTTTTTTATGACTAAATTTTGAATTTAGATATTCTGGGCATTCTATTGCCATGCCATCAGTGTTCAGTGATTGATGTACTTCTGGACGTGATTTTTCATTTGTTGGTAGTAGTACTTTTGGGCAATCCTAGAAAGGGTTTTAAAGACACCTAGATGTTCGCACGTAGAGGGATCGTGATGCATTTTAATAATATTAGAGCGTTGATCCTTCGTAACAACATCCAACCAGAAACCACTCGGAGATGATAAAGCGAAATACCTAAGTTTAGCTTTTTTAAATAGCTTTCCTTCATTAGTATACGAAAGCGGATATTTAGAGGGGGATTTGGTTACATTCTCAAGCATAGTGTTATACAATTTATCCGACGTTGCGAAAGGTAATTCTGAATCGATAGGTACAACAGTCGGGGTAGTAACTACCTCAATAACAGGAACTGATCGGGACAATATATCGAGAACAACGTTCTCTTTTCCCTTACGATCGTATTGTTTGAGCCTGACAGCCCATCGAGCAATTTTTCCTACTGGATCCTTGATGGAGTTAAGCCACTTCAAACTGTAGTGGTCAGTGATAACTGTAAATTTGGTACCTTCGATGTATGGACGCAATTTCTCGATAGCAAATAATACAGCCAAGCATTCCTTTTCGGTCGTGGTATATTTTCTTTCATTTTTATTGAGAGAGCAACTGAGATAACATATGACGTGTTCTTCTTTGTCTTGAATCTGCGTTAAAACCGCACCAAGACCAAAATCAGAGGCATCACATTGTATGCAAAAAGGTTTGTCGAAATCGGGACAGGACAGCACAGGGGAATTTATAAGATATTTCTTTATGGTTTCGAAAGCCTGGTTACAACTTTCATCCCATACAAATTTCATATTCTTGCGTGTTAAAGAAGTTAGTGGAGAAATTATAGTGGAAAAATTAGGAACAAATCTCCGATACCATGACGCCTGACCCACTATTCGCCTTACCTCACTGACGTTCCGGGGAGGAGGAATTTCTAATATGGCCTTGATCTTGTCCGGATCAACCAACAGACCGTTGGAGTTGACCACATACCCGAGATATCTTAATTCACTTTTGCAGAAGACGCATTTCTCTCGATTAAGGGTTAAACCAGCTCGATGAGTGAGGCGATCGATTATTTCACGTAATATTTTAATATGGTCCTCAAAGGAGGAAGTGCAAATAATTACATCATCTAAAGAGACGAATACATACTTCTCAAACTCAACACCAATAACTCGATCTATGAGGCGTTGCCAGACAGCAGGAGCGTTGGTAAGACCAAAGGGCATTCGTCTAAATTGAAATAGAAATCAAATCAAAATATACTTTATTGTCCGAACAACGAAAATAATTTTCCATTGACAAAGCTTTAGTTCCTAAATACTAGAGTAGAACATTTAAACAAGTGACTAAATAACGTAATTACAACAGTCAAAATAAATACATAAAATTAAAAATATCCAATACAGTAGCTAAAAAAACAAAACATAGAATAAAATTTTTGGTCAACACCTCGAGAGGAACAGTGAACGCAATAAGGGGTTTGGAATTTTCTAAAATAGGAATCTGCCAATATGCTGATTTAATGTCTAAGGTACTGAGAAAGTGAGCGTCTCTCAATTTATCCAACGTAGTCGAAACCCATGGAAGAGGATAGGGACTCCGAGATAGTGACTCGATTCAAAGCTCTGAAATCAACACAGAACCTCTATCCGCCAGTTTTTTTCTTAATCATAACGATTGGGGAAGCCCATGGAGATTCAGAAGGCTCTACGATCCCATCAGCAATAATTTTATCCAATTCGCTATTTACCTCATTTTGTAAAACTCGAGACAGCGGATAATAGCGCTGTTTTATTGGGGATGAGTCAGTTTTAATAACCAACTCGACTGGATTGGTGCAGCCAAGTTTATCACCCATTTACGCAAAAGTCTCATCAACCAAAGTTTTCAAGATACATTCTTGCTCAAAAGACAAATCGCTTCTGCTTTGGATAGCGGCAATTTCGGTAGGGATGGTATCATTCACGAAAGCTCCATTCACCAGCCTGAAGATCGGGAATAATTCCGATTTTTATCCAAAAATCAACTCCAAGAATTAAAGTATGAGGAAGGGATGGAACAATCAAAACGTGAATTAGGACAGCGCGATCTCGAAGACGAATGGGCACCGAAACTGAACCAACAACTTGGCAATTTTGTCCATTTGCACAGTACAAAATGAACTAGTAGGTTTGAGACTGCAAAGGGATTTCAACATTTTCCAACCCGCCTCCCCAAGAATAGTTTTTGAAGCTCCGCTGTCAAGTAGCCCAAGAAGGGGTTTTCCATATATCTCAACTTGTAGATATGGACGTTCATCATTTTTAGAATGAGCGAGGACGTAACCTAATATGATCTTTGAAGGAAAATTGGCCTCTGGATTCGATGTTGGGCAAGAACTTCGGCCTAAGACCTTGCCGTGCTTCGGTTTTTTGAAAAATTTGTGCAAGAAGGAGTTATAACGTCGGGTTTACCACAGCGGCAACAAAATTTCTGCTTGGGCTCGTTACACTGCCTGAATCTATGACCAGTTTTCCTGCAATTCCAACAAAATGGTTTAGATTCAGTCTCTGATATCACATCAACCTGATTTTCACAATCAATAGAGAAAAATGTTGATCTTTTCTGGGGTTTTCAATCGGACATTACTTCGGTTTCGATTGGGGCTGTAGGTGCATGGGAAGGCTTGTGATAAGCTAACTCCGGCTCCAACAGATAACAATAATTCGTTGGAGACGGCACGAAACGCTGTACACGCGACTCGGTTTCCTCAATGGCTCAACTCAGTTTAATTAGTTCCCTGACAGAAGAAATATTTTGGGTGGCCAACCGTTTTTGCAAATAAGGCAGATTTCTACGAAGAAGCTGTAACTTAACATCTTCAGATGGTTCCTGGGGCAACTTACCAAAAAGATTCTCCATGGCGACTACGAAACCTATGACGCGCTCATGAGCACCTTGGGTACGCCTTCGAATTTCGTCCCATAACGAAAACTCATAACCATAGGGCACGAAAGTATCCCGAAGCTGCGCAACTAAGTCGTCCCAAGACTGAAATATACCAGTACGGTACCATAAAAGAGCATCCTTGACAAATAATTCGGAAGCAGAGCGTAAGAGATGATCCTTTGAAACTCCTCTAGACAATCGCAACTCCTCGATTCTCTCCAAGAAATTTGATAAGCTTCCCTGTCCATCGTATTTAATATTCCACCGACTTACATCTTTATATCCAGGAGGGTTGTAATCATAGCCAAACGATGCTGAACGATTATGCAAAGGCGAAAAATTCAGAGAACGCAACTGATCAACAAGATCCTCCACCGGGATAGAATGAGACAAATAAATTCGCCCCTGCGGTAGTTGAATTCATACACTCTGGATTGGAAAAATGTACTTGAGGTATACGATTGGTTTGGTTGCTTCTATTCGTCACTGTCGGATTGTTATTTAAATTCGGGTTGTTCGGAACGTTATTCAGAGAAGCAGAATCCGGTAAAATATTACAGGGAGGTGGAAAAGGAACATCCGGTTGTTGAACAACAGCCGTTGACTGAAAGTAATTAGGTTGTCTAGCAGAACTTGACCGATTTGGTCGATTGGAAAAACGTGAAGTTGGCCATTGAATATTAAAGATTGGAGCGTCCAATAAGGAATGTCTCTCTGAGACCCGTTCAAAGAAAGGAACCCTTTCGTTCAAGTTTTCCAAACCATCAACAGAAGGAGGCCTTGAGGAGGATATTAGTTCTGAAGCCACCTGCTTTTCAGGATGAGCTGATGCATCACCTCTAGATCAGTGGTTCCCAAACTTTTTTCTTTTGCGCTCCCTTTCTGAAATCAAGAAGTGGTTGCGCCCCCCTTCCTTTCCCCATGTTTGGGAACCACTGGTCTAGATTCTTGATTACAAGACTCTGAATCAAGAAAATTCCCATTGGGAACAATAATACGTCGACGGCGATCTCCATGTTCATCCGCGCCCTCACGATTAGACCCATTGGAAACGGATGATTGATCATCAGATAAGTCAACCAAGTCATACGAGACATGTAGATCGATAAGAATGACAGGGTTAGCCGTATGAGCGTTTACTTGCGAAGAAATAGGGTTGGGCAGACCTTGATATATCCTATCCAATTTTTTATAAAGTGAGTCACATTTTGAAGTCAAATTTTGTTTAAGGAGTTCATCAGGCTCTATGGATGACTGAATTCTAGAAATACGCAAATGAATATGTTCTAGCAGCGTCATCAATCGTTTAAATTCATTTTCTCTATTGTCGTGATGAAAATTCAAAATGTCTCTCTCAACCGAATATAGCTTAGCTTCGCACAAACAAATTTCAGCAGCGTCGAAATGGGAAACTACTGGTTTTTCCATCTCACCTAAGCGTTCCGCACGCAAAGCCCTTTTCAACTCTGCCATACGCTGAGCAAAAGTACTGGTGATCGGTAGACCACGAATAGTTAGTTCATACTTGACCTCTTCAGTTCCCAATAAATTTATATTCATTACAACCAGCAATTATCTAACAAAACCAAAGAAAAAAAATATATATGAGTTTTACTCTCTTCGTTACATCGCAACCCGACCACAACCAACCAAAAAAAAAAAAAAAAAATAGAACAAACCTCACTCCTCAACCTCAACGAATCCAGTAAATGATGATGCAGACCAGCGATGTAATAAGTAATAAAGTATTCAAGGCAATATTTTCCAATAATATTTGTTTATAATAACGCCAAAACCAAAACAAAAATAACTGGTTTTCATTCATTAAATTAAGAAACTCGGAACCCTAAAAAAAATTGTCTAGAAACCCAAAAAAAAAAATAGTGAGACTATAATTTTTTGCCAAAGTAACGCCAAAAATGAGGAACCACCCTAAGGAAGGGGTTATTGATTTTGGGGTGAGAAGATGACAAGAAAATAGATGGTTCCCTCTTAAAAGTCGAAATTAGGCCTGAGAAAAATTAATTATGTTTTTCATCTAAAGACAGAACGGTTCAAACAGTATTACCTGTTAGGGGTATAAGTGCCCTCGTTGCCGGCTTCAGTAGCGGAGAGTGGTCGTGGATAAAAGACTGTAAAATTAATAGCGCCGACCGTTTTTCCCCTCCGGTCAGGTATTAGCTGTGATATAAATATAAAAACGGGAAAGAACCTCAAGAAATCTGTAATAAACAATGAACTATAAACTACACGTACCTGGAATGGCCCGCCCATCTATAAAGGATAACGCACACCTTACATGGGATTTTTGGGCTCTATGGATTTTGTCCATTTTTTGATATGTTGTAGAGGATTTAATTCTTAACAACCTTTAAATGGGACGAAATCTTGTAGGTATTACGGTCTATGAGATATGAGCGTTGAAAGATTAACTTTTTTGCGACTTTTTGTGTGGAGAGTATACGAAAAACTGGTGTTCATCAGTCAAAATATTGTCATGTCGACATATTTCACGTCACTAATAAATGTCAACATAGGCTAAGGCCGAAACCGCACTGGCATCAACATTGGCCCCAGTGCGATCCCAGCCTTAACCTATAATGACATTAATTTGTAAGTGACGTAAAATATGTCAACCTGTCAATATTTTGACTGTTAAACATCAGTAGATCCAGTATTTTGTATACTCTCCACACAAAAAGTTGCAAAAAAAGTTTATCTTTCAACGCTGATATCTCAAAGACCGTAATACCTAAAGTTCATTTCACCAAACGAGATAGTGACAGTAAACAAACTTTGACAGGTAAGTCGAATTTTATTGGCTAGAAAAGGATTATACTCCGCCCAAGGTAGGACCGTCCTAGGTTGTTTTGTATTTCTCTTCGCTGAATATATTTCCGAACGAATTCTTCAGCGGAATTTCGAACTTGATATTGTTTTAATCTAAATTGCTCACTAATTAACAATAATTCACCAAACACTATTTAAATAATTGTAAAATACTAGGAAATACGACATTAAACTTATTGACTCATATGACAACCTGACAATAATAAATGTCATTAGTTGTAATTCATATTTTTGCAGTCCTCTGAATTTTAAAGCTCCGCCTGTTTGTTTACCTCTACTATCTCGTTTGGTGGAATGAACTTTACAAGATTTCGTTCCATTTAAAGGCTGTTCAGAATTAAATCCTCTACGACATATCAAAAAATGGGCAAAATCCATAGAGCCCAAAAATCCCATGCTAAAGTTTTTTTTTTTTTAAAGATAATTCCCCAAGTCAAAAATCTAGTAACTATGTTGGCAACACAAGCCTTTTCTACATAAAAAAATTTGAAAGCTTGACAATTTTACATTGTATTGCCAACAGAATGTCATTTTGACTTTTATCTTTAAAAAAAAAAACAGATTTTAGGTGTGCGTTATCCTTTGCGGAAATTGAGATGGAGAATGTGGGGGATACCTATCTCTATTTATCTTATTGGCGAATTATGCAAATCTTTCCTTGTCTAAAAAATATTATATTTGAGGCTAGGAAGATACCAAACCTAACAGTAAAGAACTGGAGAGAGAAAGGTATAGTCCAACAAATACCATTTTAAAGTCACGTGATTTTTCTCTATCCTTGTTGAATACATCTCAAACAGCGGTGATAGTAAAGTTGACAAAAAAATTGATGTCTAATTATTGTTCATAATATTCTTACCTGAAATAGAATCCGTCACTGTCATCAATTAGTTTGTCAAAGTTATTTTCGAAAATGATACAACGAACAAACACAGCTAATAATAGGTCTGTTCGCAGAGAAATCACAAACCAGTCAGAGTAAATCTCATTGGTTGAAACTAGTTTCCTGACTGTTTCTGATTGTTTTCAACCAATGAAATTCGCTCTGACTGGTTTGTGATTGCTGTGCGAACAGGCCTAATTTTGACTATATTAACCTTTTTCCAACTCGAAAAGAAGCAAATAGAGAACGGGTACCCAATTCAGGTTCAGAATGTATTACAAATGACAGCAGAAGTGACAAAAGTGAGTGTCGCAACAATTGCAAGTATTAAAATTGCCATCTAATTGGTCAATACTACTCCAGAAACGCGTTTGTAAAATGCTAGTGGAAACATATCCTAAAATTCAATAGTAATTAACCACCCAGTAGCTTTTTGTAGGTGATATCAACGACATAATCAAAGAACATACGTTTTTTGCCACCAATATCACGTGACTTTAAAATGGTATTTGTCGGACTTTATCCCCCATGTAGCTATTTTGGACGCACTAAGCGAGATGACAAATGCCATATCTGACAACCGTCGGTGCCATTCCAGATACGTGTAGTTTATAGTTCATTGGTAATAAATGAGAAAGCAAACGCCAACCTTTTACAGTCAAAGGCAGATTTAATAGTAAACATGAAGAGGGAATATAAAAGTCAAAGTTAACAGTGGCAAACTTAAAACCAAAACATAATATTCATTATAATATATGCGATTATTTTACACATCATCAAAGGGTTGGTTTGACCAATAGGTACCGCATATATGCATATAGGGGGTTTACAAGAGTTTAGTTTACTAAAATATGGTAACAAACTATGTCTTAAAAATGGGTATAACTTTGGCGATTAATTAGTTCAGTTTAATAAAATATGTAAAATAGCGTTTGTATAGGCCACCAAAATATAGATTAGTTGGAATTTGGGGCATTAACAAAAAATAAGAGGGTATGTAACAATCTGACCTTATAGGAGAGCAACAGAGTCCAACGAAGCTGCACACGGTAGAGGCTTTCCTGTCAGATCGAACCCGTGTTCTTAATGGGCTTCCGAGGGTAGGAAAGGAGAGTATTCGGTAAGAAGGCTTTAGCCCAAAGTCTCTAGGGAAACCTCGGAGCTCTCCAAATGGTGTCGTTGGTTCAATTTGCCGCTATGTAGTAGAGAAAGACGGCAAAATCCTTGCACAATAAGCAGGGAAAGGTGGAAGAAAAAGGCCTACAAAAAAATTAGGTCTTTGGAAAGAGGTATTCTGTTCATCGTGAAAATTAGCCAAAAAAACAGGATAATTTGCAAATTAAAGTTTCAAAAGAAGACTTACCGGAAGTTTTTGTGTGGCCTTAAGGAGAAACCATGTGGTTTGTTGTAGAAAAATCTTGGAAAAGTCCTAAAATTTTTCTGATTTTCCCGAAATCAAATTAGCACTTGGCACGAACGAGTGAACTAACAAGATGGGAAACGAAAAGGGACTTTTCCAATAATTAAATCGGCAAAATGTGCCAGGGTCGAAATCTTACAGCAGCCTATACAGCCTTAGACGACCTTTAATGTAATGAATGGCCCATATAAGAAACAATATATCTACGCTGAGGAAACACAAAAAAAATTGCAAACTTGTTTCTTTCTGCATTCTTTGAATTCTTGTTCCCTTTGCTTAAGCAAAAGTTCTCTGGTAAAAGTTGGAATTATAATTTTTATTGGGATTTAAATATTTACACTGCTGACAATTATAAATTATAAATCTCAATATCATTAGTAATTTCCCTCAATTTTGTAATCGAAAATGACCAGTTTTTATTGTTTTGGTTTCGTATAATGAAATTATGGATTATTTCAATTTTTTTCATTTGAAGCATAAACGGACCGTAACAATCTGTGGTAACAACTTATCTACTTAATAGTGTGTTATTTTTGTAAAAATATGAGTTTTTTTTTTTGTTTATATCCAATATGATTTAATTTTTTTAGGTTCCCAAGAAGGTACTTCATCGACTGCAACAGGTTCTGGTACTGATACAGGCGAAGCGGCTTCAGTAAAAGCTCCGCCCGGAATGGTGCACTGCGTCAAAATAATGAATATGTTGCGCGGTATACATACTACGGTTTTATCCAGCTTAGAAGGTATAGCAGCTCAAATGGAGTGGTTCAGAGAGAACTGGTACGAAGAGGTAAAGAATATTGATAAAAGTGTTTTTGATAAACGTTTGTTATTCTCAATAATCAGTTTTTGACTGTGATGTTTTCGTGATTCCATACAACATGGCAGTCATAAAACTGTTGTATCATGGATCCACAAAATCCAAGACTCAACTGCATTTAAATAGATTAACTAATGCATTACAAGAGTTAAGTTTTGGGTTTAAAAGTCAATTTTTATTTTCAGGTTCTACGCCAATTGCGTCAAGGCCTCGCCAAATGCTACGCCATAGCATTCGAAAACCGGGAATCGGTAAACGAAGCCAAAATCACTCCTCATATATTAAATTTCGTCAAAAAATTGGTCTCGACCTTTGGAATCGGTGTGGAAAACATTTCTACCTCCTTCAAAGCGACTGCGTTCAATTCAGCTGCTTCTGAGAGTTTAGCAAAGTAAACATGTTGCATTTTAATAAGAACTATATAATTTTGATTATATATTTGTAGGAGAGCAGAAGACACTTATCAGGACCCGCTTTTCAAAGAAATGAAAGAAGAATTTAGAAAAGACTTTGATTTTTCGCAATCTAACTCAATGCGACTGCACACTTTAATTTTCAAATTGAAAAAATGGATTAAAATATTGGATAATAGATCTAAAATGATGCTACAGTAAGTAACAGTTACAATTGAGAATTGTCTTTAAATTTGGAAAAAACCTAGTTTAGTATTATAGGGACATTGCACAAATTATAGTTTATTAGGGAATTTAATTTCTTGCAACAATTTTCTTACAAAAGGCGTTTTTAAATTGAGGTATTAACGTGCGAATATGAATATTCATTGTGGATTTTTGATATTTTCTTTTTATTTAAATTATAAATTAATTTAGATCGTTCCTGATGGAAGAAAAATGTCGATTCCTATCGAATTTCACGTTAAAAACGGCCGAAATCGAACTACCAGGCGAATTCCTGTTACCGAAACACAATCACTATTACATAAGGATTGCCAGGTTCATGCCCAGAGTCGACGTGGTTCAAAAACACAACGCCGCAGCTAGAAGATTGTATATCAGAGGACACAATGGTAAAATTTATCCTTATTTGGTGGTAAATGGATCAGGATTGGCCGACGGCCGAAGGGAGGAAAGAGTTTTGCAAATGTTGCGTATGATGAATATGTATTTGGGAAAACAGAAAGTAATATAACTTGCTTTTTATATTTATGTATGTTATTGATCATGCTTTTGTTTAGGAAACAGCAAGAAGGTTTCTGCATTTTACTATTCCAAGAGTTGTGGCTGTTACACAACAAATACGTTTAGTGGAAGATAATCCGGCGTCAATTTCTTATTTGGATGTTCTTAAGAAACAATGTGCTAAACTTGGAAAACAAGGTAAGGTGTTTAATTCATACTATTCAGTTGTCATCAAAATACTTGCTTCAATTTTTGGTTAAACCAATCAAAATCTTACTGTCTAATAAAATTATTCAAATTCTTTTAGGTATAGAACATGATGATCCCATCCAATATTACTACGAACGCCTCGCCACAGTACAAAGTAGAGGCGTCAAAGCCAGCCATCAAATATACCGAGACATTTTCAAAAACGTCCAAGAAAAAATGATACCTAAAACCGTCTTGAAAGATTGGGCTTTGCAAACTTTCCCTTCAGCGACGGATTACTGGCATTTTAGAAAAATAGTGAGATGGTTTATTTTTCTTTTAATCCAATTTTATATATTTTACTTTTTTTTCAGTTTGGTTTACAACTGGCCCTGGCCTGTTTTGCAGAATACGTATTTCATTTGACCCGACTGAACCCTGACATGATGTACTTGCATCAAGATTCCGGTCTTATGAATATTTCGTATTTTAAGTTTGACGTTGACGAAAGCACAGGTAAATTTCAATATGCTTGTGAAAACGTTTTTTGGTTAAGCCAATTTTTATTTTTTAGGCGAATTGGATCAAACCAGGCCAGTACCTTTCCGACTCACACCGAATATAGTTGAATTTATAGGAAGCATAGGTATCAGTGGACCACTCACCGCTTCGATGATAGCTACAGCTAGATGCCTTGTTTATCCTAATTTTAAGGTAAATAATTTCAGTACTTTTCTGTAATTCGAACCTTGTACTTAGAAAATAGCATCCTAATACTGCCCTTAGAATATATACATAAATATTATTATTGCTTTAGGTTCTCAACATTCTTAAACCGATTTTGAGGGACGAAATCATCCTATTTAGAGGGAAAAAATCCGAAGATAGCAACACCAATCAAGATAAGCTATTAGAAGCTGAACAAATAATCGGTATGGTAGGACGGGCCATTACCTCAATTTCCAATAGACTGAATAGTTTGGCACAGTTTGACGGGGCTGACAGCAAAGTAAGAATTTAATTTTTATTAATTTTCCTACGACCACATATGAAAGTGACAAAATCCGCACTAGTTGGTTCTTTGGAAAGCGCTAAAAATCACACGTGTGCCGAAAGTACTTTCAATACACTTGCAAAAAGTACTTTCAGCACACGTATAGAAAATACTGTTGACATTATTTGTGATTTACGTCACAATTTACTTTCAATACGTGGGTGGAAAGTACAGGGTGGCCCAAATTCGAGCCTCATCATTGGGATCTCGGAAACCGTAAGAGATACAGGGTCGGTTAAATTATGGCAAAGTTGCGCAATTTTATGACCAATAGAATGCCGTTTTGAAATTAGAAAGATTCCGAATACTTCCAGAGATATTCGGAAAAAAACGAAATTTTGTAAATTCGTTTTTATTTTTTCCCGGGCTTATTTGAAGAGCAATTTTAAAATAAAGGTCACTTCATCATTGTCACTTTTTCCCCTTTAGAAGATGATGCTACTAAATTTAAAATCCGACGTTTCGTCTTCAGGGGGTCATCTTCAACTTACTTTTTTTAAATACGAACCTGGATTTTTTATTTGCTATTTTGTCATCTTTTGGCATCCTAAAACCGAGACTGTTTATAATTTTTCAATAACACAGTAAAAAAAGCAGGTCCGTATTTAAAACAAATAAATTGATGATGATTCTAGAGGAACGAAACATTGGTTTTCAAATTTAATACGGCCATCTTGTAGAGAAGAAAAAGTGAAAATGAGAATGTGAAATTAGTTTTTCAAAATCTTTTCAAATGAAATCAGGAAAAAATTTGTAAACTACGAGAAGTTCATGTTTCTTTCTTATAATTTTGATTTCTTTTTTTTTTTTATTTTATTTAAAAATATTTGTAAAAACTAATATCACATTCCCCTTGTCACTTTTCCTTCTCTACAAAATGGCTGTATTAAATTTAAAAACGTTTCGTTCCTCTGGAATCATCATCAATTTATTTATTTTTTAAATACGGACCTGCTTTTTTTACTAAGTTATTGAAAAGTTATAAACATTATCAGTTTTAGGATGCCCAAAGATGGCAAAAACGCACATAAAAAATCCAGGTATTTAAAAGAAGTAAGTTGATGATGGATCCTGAAGACAAAACGTCGAATTTCAAATTTAGTAGCACCATCATCTAAAGGGGAAAAAGTGACAACAATGAAGTGACATTTATTTTAAAATTGCTCTTCAAATAAGCCCAGGAAAAAATAAAAACGATTTTACAAAATTTTGTTTTTTTTCCGAATATCTCCGGAAGTGTTCGGAATTTTTCTAATTTCAAAACGGCATTCTAGTGGTCATAAAATTGCGCAACTTTGCCATCATTTAACCGACCTTGTATCTCTTACGGTTTCCGAGATCCCCATGATGAGGCTCGAATTTGGGCCACCCTGTACTTCAGCACGTGTCTTGAAAATGAAAAGAAATAAAATAAAAGAAAATTGGTGTAAATCAATTTCTGGTCGTAGGAAAAATGGTGTACATCACTTGTGAGAAAGCATCTTTCATACACTCATGTGATTTTCGCTCTCGGCTACCGCCTCGCGTGAAAAAACACTCGTGTGAAATTTGCCACTTTCTTCACTCGTAATGTAATATACTATTTAGAATCATACCTTCATTTTCTGCACAAGGGCTTTAGTAGATATCACATCACAAATTTCAATGCTATTTGAAAGTACCATTGATTTCACTCACAAGATGTCTTTTATATGCCTTTCTCATTTCTAATCTTTCTCATATTGCTCATCCCTATCTAAAGAATTGGTTCTTCTTTTAAAATCAATCTGAAATTGGGGTTTGGTTTCTTGAAAACATCAAAACGTACATTAACGATTTTTTTTGCAAAGTATCAAAATGGCAGTTTCTCAAAATCTAGGTTGGTACTCTATATTCGGCCATATCGGATATTAATAATTAAACACATTTATGATTAAGTACTCTTTTCTATTTTCAGGCTTCTACATTAGTTAGCGCTGCCAGCAGTCCCGACAATCTGTGTAGAATGGATCCAGCCTGGCATCCATGGCTGTAAGATATTTTAAAGTATTTTTTAGGTTTTAAACGGTATCTAATTTAGAATTGAATCTTTCTTTAATTTTGTACAAAAAAACTTGTTCAAATCATTATTTATTATAAATTTGTTGCAAAGCCCTTGTATAGTACAAAAATGGGTGCAATTTGCATGTTTTGGGTTGTGAGGAGTTGAAAAAAAAAAACAGATTTTTTATTATTTTTTTAAATTTATGAATAAATACTACTTGAGTTTTTACATTATAACTTTGTAAATTGAACATTATTTTATTAAATGAGTTTATACAATTATTGTGGTGTTCACAAACAATTACTTAAAACTATTAGTAGGTACTTTCTTTGCCAAGCCATATTTCTCAGTTTAGGCAGAAAATAAATAAAAAATATTAGAAATAGAGCTACAAAAAACTCGGCAGGCACTTTATTGTACATAATGTACATACATTAGTTTTTCTTTGAAGTGTTTCTATTAAAGTTATGCGACTTTTACAAGGCAATGTCCTATACTACAGTAAACCATTATAAGTCAATTTTAATTTTTCATGATAGATTGAACTACCTAAATTTTTTGTAAATAGATAATTGAATGGTGCGTAAAGTTGATCAATCGCTAAAAGCGAATTATGCTTTTTGCCAGTAAAGCATATTTCAACACAAGAAACCATAATTTCTCGAAAGTAAATCAGAGATATGGTAATGGAAGAACATACATACTAAATAGGGTTTACCTCAAATTCAAACAAGACTCGTAGAATTCCTCTTTTAAAAACCAGAACATTACTGAATTCAAGGAAGTATTCCTTTTTAACACAAACTAAATTCATTCGATATACTCTAAATCAAAAACATTATGCATAATATCAAAATTAATTAACTTATCAATCTTATTTTCTAATTGCAATATGATTTGCTGACCTAGACTTTACTGAATTCAACTGTAGACATCGGCGAATGAAGTCAAAGCTTGAAATATTTTTACATAAAACAATTTAGCTTTTAAGCCAGGCTAACTGGCCAAATTTCTCCATCAAATCCACCATAATCGCTTCATCCTTTTTCTCTTCAGTTTTTTCCCCGTCAATTTCTAGCCTGGGAGCTCGTCTTGAAGTGAAATCCGGTTTTTCCTTTTCCGGTTCCACCATTAAGCAGCGGTTTTGGGTTCTTGTTTTGGACCTGTATTCTCTTAGCCAACGTCTGTTGAATTTTCTCTCCTCCTCAGACGAATCAGAATCAGCTATATTTATTAAAATAATTATAAATAAACAAACATTATTTTTATAGGCTTAAAGGTATTCACCTGAGCTATCAACGTTTCCCAGTCGTTTGTAGAAGTTCAGGCCAAGACTTTGGTCTTTGAGTTTATCAATGACATTCTTCAAGACTGAGTCTATTTTTCTTGCATCGTCTGCAGTTTTTGTTGATACATCATGCACTTCTGTTAAGGTTAGCCTAGAATTAAACAGCAGGTCATATTCACGATCTAGTAGTTGTTAACTGCAACTCCCATAAAATATGTTCAAGTGAAACAAGAAAATCTAGATATTCTTGTTAAAGTTTGAGAAACCATGATTCAAATTAAGAGGACAATACGGAATATAATTGACACACTAATACACCACTAATACCAAAGTGATTAATTCACAGATTGATTAAGTAATTGACCCTCTGTCATACACCTTTTTAAAATATAAAAAATAAATAACTGGTCTTAAGACTTCCATAAAGATGTAGAATGTTCCTCAACACCTTTCCTCATTAGAAATCTTGGTTAGGCCCATATTGTCACAAAACAACAAGGTTTTTGTCATTATATCAGCAACTTGAGTTTCTGTAGAAGTTTGTGTACAGGGTGATCTATTATAAATGTCACCCCCTGCTAACTTTCTCATTTGACGTTTTTGACAAAAGTGTCAAATACAAAAGTTTTAAGAAATCGTCAAAAGTTTTTAACTAAGTCAGTTTTAGGCATACAGGGTGCGTCAAAATAGTGCAGCAGTGTGAAGTTTCATTTTTTTAAATGGAACACCTTGTATATTGTGCGCTTATTTTTTCGTTTCCTTTTCAACGATATACGGTTTGATATGTTTATCTTGCGGTTTATCTTCAATAGTTATAAGGAAAAACGCAAAAATCCCTTCCTAGGTCTCTCATGTTATTTTTAAAAAAATAATAATTTTGACTTTAGACATCTGGATTTATCATAATATTTCATCTTGTATATTGAATAATACAATTTGAACAATAAACTGTTCATAAACATTTCTCTAAAGCTTAAATGGTATAATTTTTCTTTTTTCAATATGAAACCTTGGAAGGGGTTTTCATGTTTTTCCCTATAACTATTGAAGATAGACATATCAAACCGTATAATGTTGAAATCAGGTTGAAAGGGACTAACAAATAAGCGCACAATATACAGGGTGTTCCATTTAAAAAAATATAACATCATGCTGTTGCACTTTTTTGACACACCCTGTATGCCTAAAATTTACTTAGTTAAAAACTTTCGACAATTTCTTGAAACTTTTGTATGTGACACTTTTGTCAAAAATGTCAAATGGAAAAGTTAGAAGGGGGTGACATTTATAATAGATCACCCTGTACACTCAAAGTTTTTTCTAAGACAAGCTCTCTCACATAGAAATGTCGAATCTGCATGTACTTAGTTCTCTTGTGGTTTCGGAAACAAATTTTCGAGACTTATCAAAATTACATAGACACACGATTTGTTTGACAGCTTAACTTCAACAGACGCCTGTCAAATTAGTAATTTTTAAGTTTTAGTGAACGACATTCATCAAAGGATTTTTTTCTACGGATGTATTCACTCTCTAATGTAGGACCATCAGAGAAAAAATAGGCGGACGAAAAAAAAACACCGTCTTTTTGGCGGACGGTCACAATGACAAGTTGATTTATGGGAAAACAGTATTGAGGTTAGCTGAGATTCATAATAGTTATTTGTATACCAAGGCCGCGAAATGCCTTTTTACCGTACGTAGAGAAGTTATCGCCGAGGCTAGATAATCTCGAGGACGCTTAAAAGTTTCGTGGTTATGGTATACACACTATTTTTTGTAAAACTATAAAAATTATGTAAACTTACAGAAAAACTGGATCAATTTGACACAGTGTGTAAAAAGTCCCGGAACAGTCAATTGACGTGTCTCGTAATACCTGGTGTGCGCGCGCAACTCGTGGGTTGCAGGTGAGCGTGCAATGAAAATCGAGTTTGTTACAAGCTTGCGTCATATTCGTATTCAGGGACGAGTTCAGAATTAATCGTTCCTTCTTTCTTTGTAACGTGTAATTCGACAAAGAGCAAACTAATACTTTACATATAACTTGAACTTATCGCAGTGTCGTTTAAGGTTATGCTAAATTATACTTGACATATTCCTTTGCAATTTCATTGTGCGATGTTGCCGGATGAAAGATTCATCAAAATAAAAGTGCCATCGATGTTAACATACACTTTAAAGCTCTTCTTTTGTCTGATTTGAGGCGTTGTAAAACACTTCACAATATATCACTTCTTTGATGTTATAATGTTCGATTTGTATTGTCTACATTTGTTCTGCAACAATATAATCTGGCTATACTGCAGCCACGAGTTGCGCGCGCATGTCATTTTTTATTACTTTCTAACTTGTATTTATTACAATTAAACTCTCTTTTTCTATTTCTGCGAGACACGTCAATTATTTCGAAAATGGTGCATATTATAAAAAAGCTTCCTATACATAGTGTGTAAAGAGTCCCGGAGTAGTTAATTATTTCGAAAATGGTGCACAATATAAAAGACTTCCTGTATAAAAGTTGTAGGTTTTGATAAAATCTATCAAAATAGGATTTTTGTAATTATAAAGGGTTGCCGAAAAAGTTGTGCTACATCAAACTTCATTTTTGTTGGAATGACCCCTTTTTAATAACGGTTCAAAATGTTTCACGTTAAAACCTGAAGAAAAAAAAACATTAAAATAATTCTTCATCTCAATTTGTTCAGATCTGCAGGTTTTGACACAAACACTATATTTTTTAGATGTCCCCAAAAAAAAATCAAGGGGCGTCAGGTCTGGCGACCTGACAGGCCATTCTATGGCTCCTCTTCGCCCTATCCAGCGGTTACGAGAAGTGGCGTTTTAATAACCTTTAACAGCTGGCTCAAAATGAGCAGGAGCTCCATCCTGCTAAAACCACGTAGGTATGGTGTAATGGTGGTCCTACTTCATTAGTTATTGCTGGAACAATATCATTTTGCAGCATGCGAAGATACATTTCGGCAGTCAAATTCCCCTCTATAAAGAAAGGCCCCACTAATTTGTTGCCAATCATGCCAGCCCAGACATTTACTTTCTGGGGGTGCTAAGTATGTGTTTCCAGTGTGGATTCTGATCAGCCCAGTGACGACAATTATGGCGATTGATAGTCCCGTTCAACTGATCTTTGTCGGATTGTCGGTCTCCAAAACCTCTGAGAGCTGAGAGACATTTCCAGAATTTACTTTGACAGTGACGCAAAAAATTCTAGTACCAGCTTGTAAAAGCAATGTGTAAAAATGCGAAATGTAGGTAAAGTCTGTTTTTTTTTTAAAGATAATTCCCAAGTCAAAAATTAAGTAACTATGTTGGCAACACAAGCCTTTTCTACATAAAAAATTTGAAAGCATTGACAATTTTACATTGTATTGCCAACATAATGTCATTTTGACTTTTATCTTAAAAAAAAACAGATTTTAATATCGAACTTATCGTATTTACGTCCTTCAACTCAAATTATTTCTGAAACTAATGGTTTTGGCCATATGACATATTTCATAATTGTTGTTTAGAATCTTCACAGGAATCAGAAAATGTAACTAAAAAATGGTCATTTCATTTTGAAAAAATGAAGTTTGGCGTAGCAAAACTTTTTGGACCACCTTGTATAATTACAAAAGTCCTATTTTAATATATTTTATCAAGACCTACTACTTGTATACAGGAGGTTTTTTTTATATTGTGCACCATTTTTGAAATAATTGACTGTTCCGAAACTTTTTACACATACACACTGTGTTGGTAATTGATCCACAAAACAGATTTTCACAAATTATGCTTGATCAAGCTATGTTGCCAAATACAATATCTGCCTGTAAGAACATAACATTTATAGAGTTGCTCTAAACGTTTTATGAATCCCAGCTAACCTGAATACTGTTTTCCCATGAATCAAGTTCATAGTGAGCGTCTGCCAAAAAAGCGATGTTTTTTTTTTTTTTCGTCTGTCGATTTATTTTCTGATAGTACGTCAGTGAGCAAATACTTCCGCAAAAAAAAACTTTGTTAATGTCGTTCACCAAAAGTTAAAAATGACATTTGATAGACGTCTGCCAAAATTGTGCTGTAAAATAAATCGTCTGCCTATTTGAATTTGGAATGCACTAGAGCTGCTCTAACGCTTTCATGAATATCAGCTATTCGGGTCTATTTTGTAACTCAAATCGAATCGACAATCGAAAACTTGAATCGATAACTGTGGAAAAATTTCCACAGTATTGTTTACCATAAATCGCCTTGTCATTATGCTACCATCTTCCAAAAAAACGCTGCCGTCTTTTTCGTCTGCCGATATTTTTTCTGAGAGTACGTTAGTGAAGAAATCGATTTGCAAAAAAAAAAAATTGATAAATGTCATTCACTACTTAATCTGCCACTCTGAAACGGCAGATGGTCAATTTTGGTATGTCCAGGTAACTTACAATCATGATTTATTGATAAAAATTTTGATGAATATCGTTTACCGAAAAACTTGCTAGCTCCTATACTAATAGTGGCTCTAGAATATCCCATGTTATGTGGTCTTAAAACAAATTTCTTGCTGAGCTGGTGGAGTCTTCTAGTCGCATTCTAGTTATCAATCAAAGAGCAAAGAGCTGAAGTTTCTGCTGTTTTTATGTTTTTTTTTGAGCCGGTGGTCTAAGATTTAGAAGGATTGTGTGTCCATATTCTAGAAGAGGTCTATAGATTGATTAGTAAATTTTTATGGCCGTTCTGAAGTTAATTTCCGTGGTTCTTCTAGGTTATTGCTATGACTTTAGTGTGATTATTAAAATTGAGTTTGGTGTCGATTACAATTCCTAGATATTTAGCAGTCGGCTTTGGTCGGATCGGTTGGTTGAGTCCTAAGGTTGAGTCAGTGGCGACGCGTGACCAGCAGTCTGTGGGGGAGGGGGGTAAATGGTACGGGGGGGTTGAGGGGGCGAAAACGCGCCGCAGGTGAAATTTTTTGCAAATTTCAAGGTCATTCACTTTTCCAGAACAATTATTTCCAAAACAAAACAAAAGTGTATTTTCTTCAATATAATATGTATTTTCTTTCCTGATCCTGATTTTTCTCTTGATGATTGGATCCTGGAGGGGGTAATTACCCCCCCCCCTCTCCCGACGCGACGCCCCTGGGTTGAGTAA